GCCTCATCTGAAATGGTTCTACCATGTAAGCGACCGAAAATTTCAGTGTTTCGTGCCAACAAGATTGCTTTTGAGTTAGAGCTTGCCTCTTTACAGGGGTTTGTAGATAGATTGACACAGAACGCTGTACGGTTTAGCATGTTCTCCATGCTTTCAAAGTGCGGGGCCTGATCCAAAAGGCCACCACTTCTAACTGACCATCCGATTGACGTCCTCGATCAGTTCGCTTACTTTGCTATTTGTGTCACCTCTGGTGGTCACATTACCGGTCGTGCTACTGCACATATCAACAAAGTCTGTGGGACTTTCCACAGTCTCAACGACTTATAGAGGCGGTGGATATCTGCGTCTCAGTTAAAGCTGGGATGTGCAATGTTGCGGTACGACCGGTGTTACCTTATCGACCGAAAGTCGCCCACGCGCCGAGAACGTTATGAAACTGGTCAGCTTTAATCACCTACACTTGCTAAGTATTACCCATGTGCCATTTGAGAGCCGACGGAACGGCTTCGAATTATACAGTGGTTCAAACCATTTACCTCGGTTAGGTTACGTCTTTCGCGTCCCCATCGGCCACCCACCTCGGCGTTCTTTGTTTGTCGTCCCAATACCTTGCTGTGCTAAACTGACAGGTGGCCTGTCCATGATATGGGAGAAAGACATGAGTAGATTCATTTGGAAAATTGGTCTGGGATGTGCCGTCTCCCTGGATTCCAGTCTCTGGATAAGCCACACCAGTAGGTAGGCATTTTATCCGGCATAAGGCCTTTACGGAATCAATGTCGTTTCTACATTCAATCCATTTTATGTGACAATGAACTTTGTGATCCACACTCTTTTACTTACCTTTCCTTCGCAACTTTTCGATTGTATACTACATTTTTATTTCTCATCCTCCCCACCGTCGTTACCTAACACTACTATGGCAGTCCTAACCATACCAGTTTATTCACCGCATTTCTGTATTTTGGTCATGTTCGTTTAACTGAGCTGTGTTGCTCTGCTTGTCCATTTCATTCTATGTATTTGGCCTCTCCTTGCTTTCACGAGGTCTTTCATAAATCTGCTTCCTAGACGGTTTGGCTATTCGTCCCGGTTATCTGCAATTTTATTTATCCGAAATGTTTGGACTTTCAAGTGATTTCTACTTCATCCATTGCCTGCATACTTCTTGTCTAAGTTTCATCTGTTTGCTCAATTGTCGATGGCTTTAAGGATTACTTGCTTGCCTTGCAGTCCGGAAGTCACCGGTTCGAATCCACGGTGGTTTTGGACTCGCGTAGCATTGAGGCGTCAGTACTGTGTGCCGGCGCACTTCTTTTTCTGAATGACTCACCAGCTATGCAAAACATTTTCATTTAAAATGTGAACCGTCATTCTTGATATCTGCTGTACCAGTGGATAAGATTCCACAGAACAGCTCTAGCTGTTGAGTATCTACAGCTTAAGCATATTTTGCCGAAAACGCTGCAGGCTTCGTAAACTACTTTCGGACTGCTTTTCAAGTACGTATTCGATGTAACCACGTGCGCTTCAATCGTGTTTCTCCATCCTCTGATGTATACGAACTGTTGAGCTCCGCAGAGTAGAGCCAGTGTTTTAACTGGCTGACTTACATGTCGGTTGTGCTCCACTCCTATTTTGCTGATGCCTCATCCCGATTTTATTAATCGGCTGTTTCCTATTCACGAATAGCACTGCGCATACTCCGTCCTGACTAATTCTATGGTCTCCTACCACTTTCCATTTGCTACCACTGATTCTGTACCACGAACGTTCTCTGGGCACTGTCGTCCAAGTGATTACCCGTTCGTTCTACTGTAGTTTTTGCCGGTCGCTTTTGCTTTCTTTGGATGCTATGTAACCGACCTTATAGCTTATTTAAGACTATCGTTTGGAGTATTGCATTGCTACACTTCCTGATATCACTGTTATTTGCAGACGGCTCCTCATGAGCTTCGCGGATGGCCTCAACCGCATGGAATGCTAATGCCACTTCAGGTACCACCGTTTCAAGTGTCCAGTCGCACTCTATCGTCAACACTTCTACTTCTACACCACATCAGCAGGAGCATCAGGTGGTATCCGAATACAGTCAGAAGCGCGTCCGTTTGGCTCAGGATCATCCAGCCCAATCTTTAACCAATGGATTTGTTAATGTCTCCAATGATAAGTCTACGATGGGGTGGCCATTTCGGCCGGATATTATGCAAAAATTCCGCTGCACCTTCGATGACAGATTTAAAGGTGCCCTTAAGGACACTTTGTCCCCTTACTTTACTCGTTTGAAAGACACGGAGGAGGCGGTGGCGACTCTTAAAACAGAGTGTAAAGAGTTGGAAGGGCGAATTACTTTTATTGAGAATACTTCTAAGGACTTGAAAGCTTCCCTGTCGGAACGAGTAAGTGTCCTCTTCGTGACTCTTTGCGTCCCTGTGCTGTGCATTCGGTTTTTGTTGTAAACAAATATTTGGATTCCGCTCACTAGGGCACACTATTGATGACTCCATTCTGTTCATGACGCTTTGAATTGGGATTCGATTTTATCCACGATGTTTGCTTAGCCGGCCCAATGACGAAGGTTATACTAGAACTGTTTGATACCGCTTTTAATCCTCCGTTATCTTTCATGGAAAAGCCGTCTCTCATATGGATAATCTGAATTTCGTTTTAGTGTTTCAATGACACACCTTCCTAATCCTAATAGTTTGTTTATGATATTAGCGTAATATGACCACTTAGTTTTTTCACTTTTATTGTGTACACGCGCTTTCACCCGCTTAGATCTCACTGAACCCACGGTGTCTTCACCTGTCGTCAGCAGCTGAGTTTACGTGCTTTCTGCCATCTTTGCGCCCGACATTATCTAAGCCCATGAGATGGAGATGGTCACTGCTTATTCACGACGAGTACCGTACTTTTCTTTAGGTCGTTCTTCCCGCTCCCACAACGGGAGTTGGTCAGCGGCGTACTTTGTCCTCCCAAGCACCACGTTTGCCACCCGTTACCCCTACCACGGTTGCAGCACAAGCTCATGTACCCAGTACCACTGCACAATCCGCTACACCTCTTCCCACCAAACCTGCTGCTCAGGCATCTTCGGTCAGTCCTGCTATCCGCCCTATTTTCCACCCAACGACATGTGCTTCCGCATCCGTTATCACGACTCCTCCGACGGTTAGTAAATCCACTACGAAGCCGATGCCTCCGCAACCCACTCAAAATTCTGTCCCCCATCAACCGCAGCCCAAAATGAAGTCTTTAACTGTTCGTCCTGCGGACATGATTGATTTAACTTCTGAACCTAGCCCCAACTCAAGTGCAGTGGATGACGGCACTCCAACGCTAAAGAATCCTCCTGGCACCCTGACCTACAACGTGCCAAATCAGCGACAACAACCGCAACAGCCCGTTTCCTGTGTTGGATCCACTTTGTCCAGGCCAGGTTGGTGGAGAGATAAGAGAGCAAAGATTTTGTCTGAGTTTAATCGCCGCTCTCATTTTCCGAGTTTTTATCTCTACGTCATTTTATCGTACTTTCCAACCTTAAAATCATCGTTCACGGGATGCGCGCGTGGGTTCATGGCTACCTAATTTCACCAGTATATCTATCGGTTGGTGACCGAATAGATTACCCGCTTACCTTGTAATCCGGAAGTCATCGGTTCGAATCCGCGTAGGTCCGGGTGACCTCGCATCAGTACTGATTGCATGGCAGCAAAGCCTCAATGCAATGCACGGCGTATTCCTGACGCCACTAATCTACCTACCAATTGCATGATAGCCAGTTCTTAATAGCGACATGACTGTTATTTCTGTGCATAGTCCCGATGTTTGTGACTTGTGCTGGTTTGTCATCTGTTGTGCTTTGTCGCTGTAGTTTGGCCGTGCTTGGCCTATCACCACAGGCCAAAGACTATTTGTTTTCTGATTTCCCAAGTTGAGCCATGTACCATATTAATGCTGGCCATATGCCAATGACTTCAGCCGCATCAGTTCTAGTACTTGGTTCCAGCCGTTGCGGCTTCCTGTAGGATGCACGATCTTCTTAATTAGACCGGGCTGAAAAGCGGTACCATCATCTGATATACATGTATTTTTCATGTTTCTCACCCGTTTTTGTTTGATGCAGCGCGAACAACTTGTGCTCTCTGAATGCACTTTCTGTCTGCATTTTTATTATGGTTTCATTATCCCGTGCGTTTCGCTTGTAAAACACTGTATGGGCTTCCAAACGCACATCATTTTTTGTACAATCCGTTATGGTGCATAGTTGACACAAGCTATGTCCGTGGGCTCTAACTGCGCTCAGAGCGTATGCATCACACTTATTTGCACGCGCGTCCTGAGTGTTTTAGTAGTGACAGTGACGAGAACATCTGTAGCTGACTGCTACTAGCCAGAGTTACGGAGTACTTGAGGAACAACACTTGCTTAGTATTTTCCCTTGTTTATAGGGATAACTATATTGCTTTGCTTGATCTCAGCGTCGATACTACCATGATGCCGGGCTTCTCTGCTACAATCGATCCACAGTATAGCTGTTCTGCTATTTACCCTCGCATCAGTGAAGACACTCATTTTACCTTTTATTCGCCCTGACTCAGCAGCTTAAGTACTTGATCGCCTTCGAATCCCACTAACTTCCTTTATTTCCTCTTTCTTATCTCGTCTGTTTGAATCAACCGCATAACAAGCCGATTATCAACCATGATACTACTTTAGACTCGAAGCATTATTCTGGTCATCAGGCATCAGCATCATCAGTACGCTGATGCACCACACCGACGCTTCGCTGTCACACGACCGTCACCAGCTGCTGGCAGGCTAGGACTACGCGATATCGCCGCCACCTACGCAGGCTCGAACTGGTGACCTTTGGGTTGCATGACAGATATCTCACTCCCTCGGCCGCCTGTCGATCTTCCTACGGACTTCCCTTCAATACCCCGTGTAAATGTATAGCTTTGCTTTAAACAGAAGCGATGGTCACGCTAGCATAAATAGGATCTCATTTTTTCTCGCGCATCGCATGGCATTATCGTGTGGTCGGGATGCGCTCACATTTCGCCCAATTTCTCGATCCAAGATTTATGGAAGTGGCGAAACTCGGATTTTAATGAGAGTGGGATACTTATAACACGACGGAGATTTCAATGAGGATATCCTTCTTTGCTATTCTCATAAGATCATACTTTTGTCTTATGACTGGATCGTAACTGCACTTTCTGTTATCACTTTGGTGCAGCAATGCTGTTTTTGCGTAAGTGGGCTTTGGCAACAGTAGAATGTCACTTTCTTCGTCTGATCATGCTTCTTTATGAGCTTGTGTGATCAAGAAGACATGAAAACGTGAAACAAATGAATTAAAGGAACTGTTGCGAGGGGCGCATTTTTCACTGTCAGCAATCTTTCATGTGTTTCATGAACTGTACTTCGGTTTGGGTGCTCGGTTAATGCTGCATCAGTCTACCATAGGCTTCTTAACCACATGAATACTTGATAACATGGGGCGATGCCTCATGATGCTTGCAGTATGAGCTTGAAGTTAGTGATTGAGGACGCGTTCTGAGTCGTTTCATCAATATACAGTATACTTGAATGACACAGTAGTAGAAACTAACGTGGCCGTAACTTTTTACACACATAAAATCTCGTTAGTTGGAACCTGTATGTTCGTTGCAGTGATCTGCATTTGCAGTATTTTATGCACGTTTAATTCCCTTATAATGATCTCGGATTTAGAGATAAGGTTCGGTGCGTGATGAATTACTCCTGCGCTGTCGCTCAACTCAAGGCCAGCACCCTTCGGTTTGTCTGACAGCCGAATGGACTCTCCACCTTTGACTAGCCGCGGATTATCAGTTAAAGTGACAGAGAGTAGCTTTCTCAGTTAGTCCACCACGCCGTCTCTTAAAGCGATTTTCCGCCTATGTACGTCTCCCCAGCGATATATGCACACCAAACGTACGACTGACGCACCAAGACCAATGTTTTCTGGCTTCGAAAATTGGTCTGATATGGGCATTTCGTTTTACAAGGCATGTACGTTATCTAGCTTACTGCGTTTAGCAAACCCGTATTTGTTATTGTCACAAAAGTTGATTCGTTAAGGACAAACGGTTTATTCATCAAACGCAATTCCTCAAACATGGTGGCACGTTTATCCAGCGGTTTTTCGAATTATGGACCGGTGAGTTTCCTTCTTTGAATCACTTTAACACACGACGTGGAAATCATCATATCGCACCAGAAGGTCAGTTAGTCAGCAGAGTCACGAAGCCGGACGGCTATGCCTACTGCTTCCAATGATCAAATCTGTCGAGTTCGCCTTCAGCTGCCTTCGGATTCGTTCCTTAGATCCGTCTTTCTGCTCCGACTGGACGGTGTGTGTGTGTGGTTTCTTAGTGTGGTTTAACATACATGTCACAATCCAGTGGTTCATCTGGACTTTGGTCTGAGGAAGCATCAAGTCATGGAACACGGGAATCGCTTGAAAGAGAACTGTATATGCTTGTCTCGATGCATTGTGAGCAGCTCACTATTTGTTGGCGGGTCATCAGCCTTTTGCACCCCTTCTACCGCTGGTCTTGTGGGAACTAAGTGTGGCTTCCGAATCGCTCTGGTTGCCAATCAGCAAGAGAGCGCTCTCAACGCAACTAGATGCTTGCGTTACAAGGTCGCTTAATGTATAGGTACGTCTGTGAATGCTGTATGGCAAACTGATGAAGATGATCAAAACGGCAAGTTCATTGGTGCGAGACGAAAATGCCTAGTTTCTCGTGTTTTAACTCACTAGCTTGTCTTGCGCATCGTTCCAACAGAGTTATGTCGTGGAAAATTTCGAGGTAATACCCCAAGTGCACAGGTATAGCGTCATTCATCATCATCAGTACACATTAGCTGAAAGTGAGAAACACATCTCAACTAATTTATCGCCATACAAAAAAGCTATTAAACATTGCAGACTATAAAACGAAAAAGAACAAGTAATATGATATCAAGTATCATATTATGCATTGGATATGAGGTCGTTGTTGGCGAAGGATGCTAAAGGGGAAGGGGCAAAGTAAACAAAGCTCACAACATAAACGCCATTGAGGTCGGTTCTTCGCCATGTCAACCAGTGTATCCAAGTATACAGGTTCATTGTCCTTCGGACTCCAGCCTGACAGTCGGGAGGTACCGACCGACGCTAAATTCACAATGAGGGTTTCCATTCCTATTGAACAATTCATCGCTTGGCCCCCCATCCTCCTCTTCCAACCGCACCCCCGGCGCGCAAATAACGCACTTCGCGGGAGTCGCTGGGCTGGTATGCGCAACACCTGGTCTGCCCATCGAAGCCTGGTGCCCGATATAATGGTGCTAAGCGGTTCACTCGCTTTTGCTGCATCAAATCTACGACGCCGAACACGCTTTTTGTTCATGCCATGTTCCCATCAGACATGAGCTAAGCTACGAAGGCAGCGATGGTCGGACTTAATGTATGGCGTCATTTCTGGTGATCTAACTACGGGCTTAAATCCCATCAGCAAATTGGACTAGGAAGAACGAGTTTTGTGCGGACATTGTTATGCAGTTTAATGCAGACGCATTCTAGTAGTTCCGTGCCACATTCAACAAGAAATATTTCCTGAAGATGAAACTCGGTCAGCATTTTAGCATGCTTAGGCCGTCTTCACTAACATTAGACACATACATAGGACAGCTTGGTTCTTCACTTTGCTCAGGGTGCTTGCAAGACCTTCTGCATAACTATTCGCTCCAGTGGTCTGATAGTAGGTCGTTATTAGAAGGACAGCATCCATTCTTCATTACTGTAGCGGTGCTATTTAGCTTTTGAGTTCCTCGCATTCTTTTTAAATATCGATTGGCGTCGCTTGCAACAACCATGAGAGGGGCCTTTGTAGTTGCTTGTCCGCTTGGTCTGACTCTTTCCGAATAATGTAACACGTAAGATGGTTCCTTTGTCCATTCGTATTTTGTGGCTGTATGGAATACTCTGGGCACACGGAAATCTTTACGAATTGCAGCATCATAAGTAATGTTTAACGCTTGTTTTACTAGGATTAACTTAGTACTGCTCTAACCCATTCGGGTCCGTTGAAGCCCTCACCTAGTGGGACACTGGTTGAGAAAGATAGGTAGTTGATTTGTTCTCGGGCACGTCGACGAGTCCGGTCGTTATAGCACCTTGTAAGGCAGTTCAACAGACTTGGTGTGAGGCCATCTGATTTGATTCGTCAAGCCAACTTGAGAGGATGACCTCAGGATCTCCATCGTCAAACGTTTGTTGACGACATTTCTACACTGTTGCGAGGAGGATTGTGACGACTTGCTTACAGTTCGTCTAGCCGCTGTGCTCTCTACCATGTGCTGAAAGAGCGAATAAACTCACTCTTGTCTTAATAAAAAGCAGAACGGCTCACTGGTGCCCGTGTT